ACAGATGATTGTCAGTGTTTACATCAGTAAGTTTCTAATCTGTAAGAAAATAATTTTACATGTAAGAGTAAGACAAAGGCAGAGTAGTTAGGTACTTCTTATTCTGCCTGTAGCTTGGAAAGGAAATGTGATGTGCACAGATGTGAGTTGGTTGCAAACTAATGTGGGTTTGGATTGCATGTGGTTGGGTTCATGTGATGCTGCCCTAAAGATAATAAGCCCAGCTGAGACATGAAGTCAAATGTCAGAGCTGAAATCCCACGAAGGTTTGTCTGGCTATAAGCAATGAAAGTGAAATGCCCCTTTACACGGAGGAGTGCGTTTGACAAAAGTGTCTGAGTGGCTCAGGGCAAAACAGTCCAAGCTGGTTTCTCTTGCTCTTTGATTCATATAGGTGCAGTCTGCATTGTCTAGGAGCTCTTAATTACTTTCTGCTGTCTGGTAGATATAATTGGGTATTTCAGTAGATGCTCTCATGTTTCCTGCCCTGATTTCATTCTTTTTTGCCAATATTATCTAATTCCTAAGCAAGACCTCAGATCAATAGCACAGAAGTTTTCATTACTGTGGAGTAGGCTGTCCAAGCAGAAACAATGAGACAAGTGGGATTACAGTCTTTGCAGCATATAACATACTTAAGGGAGGGATGTAGCCACCTTGCCCCTTGGAGCCAACCCATTTCTCAGCCAGCATCAGCAGCGGCTTATTAGCGAGCATGCACTATGAGGGAGAAGCAACCTGTTCCCTTTGCTCTAAAGGATGCTTCCTGTCTGTTTCCAAGCATGGTAAAAAAACAGTTGACCATCAACCAAATGTCAGGGTGTTGTATTGAAACTGAAGCTGGGCAGCCTTGGTTTTGTAAGATCCTTCCACAAAAAAAAACTAGAAGAAAAGTCCAACAAGCAGCTTTGCATTACTGAGGGAAAAAACTGACAGATGGGCACAAAGACTGTGGTCTGTGTTCCTGCTTGTGTGCAGTCAGTTTGGAGGCTGCCTCATGCTGTCTTCTTGCTAAGATACAGGAACCAGTCTGCTTGGCTCTTTATGTCCATTGAGACTGATGTGACCCTTCCACTGGACTTCATGAGGATTTGAATCAAGCTTTTTGCAGTAATAGGGCAAGAGAAGGAAAATTCACTTAAGATTAAAATACAAGCAAATACCCTCATTTACTCTGTTTATACAATTTTACTTATAAATGATAGTTTACTGTATGTACGGGAAGTCAATACTGTTCCCTGCAGTTGTATTTTCTAATCAAACCTTAACCAGTTATTGGATTACAACCTTTCACAATGAGCAGTCTTAATTAATGGCAGTCATTAGGCAGCACCCTTTTTAATGAGTTATATTAATCTGCTTACTGGTTTCTAAAAAGGATTGCAGTGGTTTGCATCTTAACAAATTACATGAGCATTTTACTTTCGGCGACTTCATTTCTTTTACTCACACTGTCTCAGTTACAGATGTTTTATGAGTGTCTTTGTGACTCATGTTCCATCAGTAGGGTTTTAATAGATAGTTTAATTATTAATGTTACATCCAGTAGAGAATGTACTTTTCTTTAAACAAAGAGAATCACAAGCCAGGGGTGACCATATGAAAGCAGCTCAACTTCACGCAGCATGAAATCTTTATGGTTGTCAATATAAGTTAATTGTGCTGTTACAAAAAGTCCACAAACAAACAAAAACAAAACAAAGAAAAACAACCAAATCTGCCTTAAAATGTGCTTTGTGTTTGGAAGTGTTTATTACAGTGGTAGTCACTGAGAAGTTGCAGCTTGGAAGGTAACGAATTAAGTTGATAAAAAAAGTTAATTGCAGGTGTTAATTGAAAAAAATTTTGACAAGCAGAGCAAACAAACCTGTAGCAATAAAAAATACCAAATTTGCTTAAAAATAGAAGTTACTATATTTGAGATTGCTCTTAAGAGGGTTTTTTTTTCACAGTCCTAAGAAAACAGAGGGATTGTAGTTGATTCGACCTCACAAAGCTACTTTTCTTTTCACTATTAATAAGGATCTTCTCTATCCCTTTGGCAGATTAATATATTTAAAATACAAGAGGTAATGCATGCTCTGTGATGTTGAAAGTATAGGAAATAATCTATCTTGGTCATTCTGTTGTCCTAGATTATATCAACAGCTATAACCACTATCTTGGGAAAAACCAAGAGAATTCAAACATCTCTTAAGTTAGTCTTTGTAAAACCAAGTTACACTTGGTTATTTGGCTATTTTGAATGAAGAAAAGCTTCCAATTGTTTTCGCTGTATGGTAAGAAGCACTTAGTCTGGTTCTCTTCAATGGAGTATTGTTAAAATAAACCAAATATTCTGATGAGTTACTACTTAAAATGTAAAACTGTTAGGAAAGGAGTTATTCACAGGAGCCAGACAGAAAGAGCTTAGACCATACACTTAACCCAGACTATGGTGTAGACAACGCATGAGTCTGTGATTTTTCCGGATTTATTTCTCTCTGGGACCTGGCAGACAGATCAGGGAGTGTCACAGCTACTATGGTGCAAAGTTTCTGTAATCAAAATTTTGCTTTCAGTCCCAAGAAACAAACAGCATAATTTTTCCCAATTAACAGGAAAATCTTCCCTTCTCCAAACCCCTTTCTCCTTCTGTACCTCAGTTTTGCTCTTGTGCCCTATTTAGGTTAACAGTCTCTTCTGCCTGAGAAACTGCACCATGATAAGATATGTTTATAGCAGAGTTTTCTTTCTGAGTTGGGTGTCTTCTTCTCTCTCTCTGCTAGCTGGAGAATGGGTTCCTAAGCTGATCCCTTGTGCCTGATCTTGTTACAGGTGACTTTTATTGCAGTTCCGTTTTGCGCATCATAGGATAGATACATGTTATTTGTTGTAAAGCAAAAAATGTACACTGTCAGTCTCTTAATATTTCTATCTGATATGATGAGCATTAATCGCACAGCAAACAGCAAAATAAAGCACAGACGGAAGACACTCATAAGTGTCTGCTGCTGCCTTCTGCTTATCACCATGTATTTATGTAGTTTGCAGTCCTCTTTCTTTCAGGAGTGAGGTGAGGACATTTGGTATTGAAATAAGAGTGCAAAATGCACTCTTTTTTTTCCTCTCTAATAGATTTTTTCAGTTAATCTCCAAACAATAGGAAATTTGCAGATGGAACTTCAGTTAGAAAGGAAGGGATGTGCCTTCCCTAGATGAAGTCAGTCTTGGCTCCCTATTCATGACAGCTTCTTGTACTTTAAAATTTTCCACAGACAAAGAATTAAGCAATATCCAACACCGAAGTAAGTTCAGAAAAGTTCCCTGTCTTAACCAAAGTTTTTGCGTAAGTTTTGCAGATGTTGATTAAAGTCTCGTCTAAGCGAGACTGGATTGCAATGACCAGTGTTTATCTTGTTTGAGTATTTGTTGGGGACATAATGATATTTACAGTTTTGCGGCCTGCCAAGAGTTTTAACGTGGATTTTATTTCAGATAGGATGGAGCTGTCATTGAGAACTGGTGCCACAAAGACTTTAATTTTAGAGAACATCAAAGTGACTATTTACCAGTGTTGGTATTTTGGGGACTTGAGATTTTGGTAACTGTGCATTCATAAATTAATTACCTTCAATCCTGGGTTGAGGGGGGTATTATCTTCTGGTTGTTTAGAAATGGACTTCATTAAAAAATAAATGTAAGAAATTCTGGAAATACTTGAAATTTACTTTGGATTTTCTAATTATGAAAGAATAAGCACTTGTATCATCTGGTGTTGAATTAGCCTGAATAGTGTTAATAATGACGTTATGTAGTCGGTAAAATACAAGCATTCTTAATAGAGGAAGATGGGTCATTGACAAAAGGTCATTTTCCACATGAATATCAGCAAAGAGGTTTTTTTGCTTTAAGGCAATGACTGTGTATGAAGAACCTCATCAGAAATATGTAGACCTGACTTTCTTCATTTGTCTAAAATGTATACATTGTTCAAGTTTCACAGAGTAAGGCACTCCAGTCTGTAGCATTGTTGGTCAAGGTGAATTGACTTCATGACTTCAAATATCATTTAGCTCTTTACTCCTCTTTCTTTAGTATAAGCATTTCCAGTTTCATGGGCTTGAAAATCTATCAGCCATATATGCTAATTTTCTTTAATTATTATTGCTTTTTAATGTTTTTGGTTTTTTTCTAGATTATGGGATGATGGAATTATTGATCCAGCTGACACAAGACTGGTTTTGGGCCTCAGTCTCAGTGCAGCGTTGAATGCACCTACGAAGAAGACAGAATTTGGAGTTTTCAGAATGTAAACTTAAACATACACTTGTCAGAATTATCTCTGTATATTTTATTTGGGGATGGACAGCAAACTAACTACAATGTTGCGGGAATTAAAAAAATGTAGATTTGTATAATGCTATTTTTAATGACAATTTCGTAGTTATTTTCACTGAGTAATTGTCACACAGTGCTTCGGTGTTTTGGTAGTTATTTGAAATCTGTCACTTGTATTGTTCGTATAACTGCATTGCATGAATAAACTGCAGGTTCTGCATTATATTTCATGTTTGACAAGATACCATTGATACTATCTCTTACATAAATAAATCTGCAAAATAAGTTACATATTTGGTGCTTATTTCTTTTAATTCTTCTTTGTGTGTCTCCTGTAAATGCAAAATATTTTTGCAATCTAATGAAGTAAACACGTTTGCTGGTAAATAATTTTTGCAAAACAGAAGTGCTGTAAGGGCAGACAGGGAGTTCAACACAGCATGAAGTTATAGATTTCATTCAGTTGTTGGCATGTTGGCCTTTCTCTGGCTTTCATCCCAAAAATTCTGCTCTTCATATGGTTCCCTGTAATCATAACAACCAGAGAACCTGATGGATGCACAGTGTTTTCTGGAAGAGCTGGGGCCCATATGCTGGTGTCTGTGGAAGCAACAGTTTGCTGAGAGCACTTCTGAGAATGGGGATTGGTTGCAAAGGTGTTTAAACATCTTAGTATGTGGTCCTTCTGGCAAATCTGCTTTCACAAAGACAGAGCATTCTCCTCGTAAGGATCAATCCTTCACCCAGAGCACAAGCCTGAAGTCCACTGACTTATGAGATGTTGAGATGATGGAGTGTTTTGATTATTCTGACTTTTCATTCGTTGCATTGTAATGTTTTTCAAGGTTTCAGTGTCTGTCATTTCATTTGTTCTCTTTAGAAACATTACGCCTTGTAGAAACTAAATGCTTGGCATGTAATGTGCCTAAAATAAGGAGACAAATACTGTGGTAGCTGGGACTAGGAAGTTGTTTTTATCTAGCTTTGCTTTGCAGGTGCCTAGATAACCATCTGCAGAAATATTCCTTACTGGAATAAACCCTAGAAGAGTTAATGTATGTGGATGGAGGTCCTATCCTGTGCTGGCCTGTGGGGAAAGATTCCTAATAGGAGTGGTCATCCTGGGTAAGGTGCTAGCTGTAGTCTTCCTGGGCTTATGTAGCAGAGTTTGTTTTCAACCCAGGAGGGGTAAGGAAGGTCTCCTAGCTGCCAACCCTCTCAGTTGTGTCTCGGGCAGATGCAGAAGAGAAAATTAAATAATCCTTTGGAATGGGAATCTTCAGTGTAGCATACAGACAGCCTGGCATATGTTGAGCTGTGTGTTCTCTGGCACACCTCTATTGCACCTCTTAAAGACCAGGTTTTCACTCATTTTACTGAGATGAAATGTATCCAGCACCTGGTGTGTTCTGCACCACTAAAAAGATTACTTCTCTGTGTCTGCACACATGTAATCTCACTGTTGTGCTCATGTCCATGTTCTCAGTGTGTTAAATAAATATTTAGCAGAGAGTAATAGCTTAAAATACTGGCAACTAGGCACAGAGCTGTGCTTTTGTGCCACTGATTCCTGTTCTTGTCTCACTGTGTGAGTTTGTGAACATGTTGGGCATGGACCCGGGATTTCTTTATCCGTAAAGTACAGTGGCATTATCTATGGGTGGTGGACTTCTGAAATGCCTTTTTAAATACCCTACTTTTAAAAACATATTTATAAAACAAAGCCAGGGAGGAAAAAGGTGTCAGACCCTGAAATGATTGCTGTTTGTGGCTTCCAATATAAAGAAACACTCCATATTTTCTCCTATTACAGCTGAGTAATCAGTTCAGGCACTTGTTGTCTTTCTGTTCTAAATTATGGGGGTTGCTTCCCCCAGTCTGCCACTCGCAAAGCCATAAGGAATGCTGCCTGTTTCTGCTAAGAAAAATGATCTCTCCTGAGTAATATTTTTGCTTTGAATATATTCTTTGAATGAGACTGGTAATTAAATGACACTGAGTTGGAGACAGTAACAAATAATCCTGGGATACACATAAGAGAAGTAGGTACATTTGGAAGGATTCATGCTTCCGAGAACAATAACTCCCTAACACTTGTTATGTCTGAAAAGAGTTACTTACAGTTACCGAAATTTCTTCTCTGAATGTGTGTGCAATCCAAGTCAGAGCATGTCTCTGAGTAAATAAGGATGTTCAGCCTTACTACTACTTAGCTTTGGAAACACGTTAAACAAGTGCAATTAATCGGCACAGCCTTAGCATGTTCTGGTTAGAGGCAGTTGCAGAGCAGGACCTTCGCTGCAAAAAAACGATTCAGAGAATCATTAGTGATGATCACTCCCCCACAGCATAGCTATTTTGGAAAAGCTTTAGCAGGTTAATGTGCTGTGTTTTGTATGCAGGCACTGACTGTGCACAGTGCACCTTGTGTGTGATGGTGTTCTGAGCACACAGGTGGCCTCTTGCTGCCCAGAGGTTTGCTGAAAAACCTTGTTTTCTGTGGATCCAACAGGAGTGAGGAGTTAGGCCCCATGGCTGTACCACAGTTGGTGATGTTAGTAAATCTATTCATGTTGTCTCAAAACAATCACCCACAGTTCTTACGTTGCCTCTACCACCAGGAATCTCATGCTTTTGCAGCTACATTTTAGGTTTAACATGGATGCCATTACATTAGTCATTCTCACTTCTCATTGGTATTGCTCTGCCAGTAGGATCTCTTTTGGATGTTTAATGAAAGGAAATTTTAAATAAATCGAAACAAAAGGTAGCTGCCACTGCAAGAGCATAATATTCCTGATGGTAGTGGTGGCATAAAAGTTGTGGGTGACTATTTCAAGACTTGTCCTACTTAACTCTGATACATGTCACCTATTCACTGTAGTATTGGAGCAGCCAACAACCACTACTCTGTTTCCTTACTGGAAAGGATGATACTTGGGATGGTGGTGATTTTTAATATGGAAGTTGAGGAACAAGATAAATGGCTGTGCCATATCAAGCACACAAGCTGTGATGGACCAGGACATCAGACTCAATGCTCTAGGCTTCCAGGGCACCTTTCTGCTCCCATCTGGTCTTGCCTTGAGTATAGCTGTTCTGAGCTAGTGGCAAGGCCAATAGGTTACCTAGTTTCAGTTCTCTGTCATAGTAGATTTGGTCTGTTTAAGACAGGTCAACATTTGACTACAAGGAGTTTAAAAGGGTCAATATTGTGACCTTGAGGGTGTTTTCAAACAACTCTAGAAGGATGTGGGAAGCTGTGAATGAGGTGGGCTAAGCTGCTCATCATGTTCTTAGAGACTGTTTCACTATTCAAGGGTTATCTTCTCAAATTACTTGGGCTGAGTTGGTGATTTCAGCATGGATAATAAAAACCTACCTATTGCCTTTTTATTCTCACGGCAACAGGGAAGGTGCTGGGAACCACTGGGAGCTATAACTTAGTCTTCAATTAAAATTGGTGGCAGTTTGTTTAGCAAACATCAAGGGTAGACCCCCGGGTACATAATCATCGTGAGGCTTGTGTGCCAGCTTTCAGGGCTGAAATGAGATGTGGGTAGTGCACAGCCTCTGAGCTAGCTCTGCCTGCAGAAACCGAGCAGGCTGGTACCTGCACCCACCACTCTTCTACCCATTTGGGGGGTTAGTTTAATGGGGAGTTTGTAGCCTCAGTGTTTGTGTGGACACTTGTGTATGTACTGTTCTTGTGAGAACTCATCTTTTATTTAAATGGAATTTTCCCAATCTATTACTCATC